AAAGCGATGCCAAGATACTTTTGGCGTGGGAGCAGTCAAAGCACATGCCAAGGTACTTTTGGCGTGGGAGCAGTCATCGCGCAGACATGTCAAAGCACATGTCTGAGCGATGCCAAGATACTTTTGGCGTGGGAGCCGTCATGCGTTCTCCACGGCCAGAAGCATCGACGCCCGAGAGACAGCAGGGCGCCCTGGAGGCAGGCAGGGTGCCTCTTGGCGCGGGTCTCCGCACGTGGAGGCCTCCTCAGTGGGGCCCGAGCCCAGACATGATCGCGTCGTAGAAAAATATCAGGACGGAGGTTTTTCGTCGTGTTCGGCCTCTCGAGGCCCTCGCCAGGCCCTGGGGCCGACGAACAACGACTCAAGATGAGGAGCCGGTCCCGGGGAACGGGTCTTGCCTTCCAGGGGCGCCATCCTGAGAAAATCAGGACGTCGCATGTCTGGGAGCAGCTGGGGTCGGAGGACTGCGCCGCGCTCCCGATGCGTCGCCGATGCATCGGCGATGCAACGGCAGCGTCGGCGATACATCGGCGACGTCGGCGTGGAAAGCATCTCGGGCTCCACATCGAGCCGCACCGCCGACGCATCGGCGATGTGCGGCGCGATCCTCCGACCCCCTCTGCTCCGACCCCACCTGGGAGGCCTCGGGCATAGGGCTAGGTCGGGCATGTCCTCCTACAGGCGGATTTTGGACAAAAACTTACGAATACGCAAACATATTCAAACATATTCACAGAAGGTAGAAAAATCGTTCTCAGATTATGGTTGGACTATTTTCAAATCTTCCTCCTGTAGAGGGGCATGCGTAGGGGCGGAGGTGGTGTGTGTGTGTGTGGGGGGGGGGGATGCAGGCCACGCGCGCGCAGTAGCGTCGCAGCTGGGCGCGCGCAAGATCAGCGCGGGCACTCAGAGGAGGAGGGGGGAAGGAGGGGATGAAAGCCCAAAGATCACCATGTACCTTCGGCGAGGACGGAACTTCTAGTATCGAGGCTCTTGGGCGTGCTTCGCCCCCTTGTTGAGCGCCTGGGGGTCCCAGGGGCCCTTTCGGGCCTCCAGGCTTGCCTTGAAAAGTCACGCTAAATTCACCCTCTGACACATCAAGGGCCCGATGTTCGCCCTCAAAACCCAGGCACCTCGTGCAGTGGGAACATCACGACGGACAAACGTAGCAATCTGCTGCCTCCGAAGGCCTCTACCGGCCCCAGGGCGACGTCAAACACCGGCTCATGCGGGACGAAAAGACAATCCTGCGGAGGGGGGCGAGACCTCGCGGGGACCCACGCTTACGGGAAAACATGTCGAAAACAAAACAAAGGTAGCGATATCCTACGTATGCTGCATCTCTAGGGGGACCTCGTCTGTCCCATCGCGCCAACCGTCCGTGTCACATCCACGTCGAATCCATGTTGAACGCGTCGCATCGGTGTCAAATCCGTGTCGAATTCGTGTCAAGTGGCACGTCGGATTCACATCGAATCCGCGTCGAACCCACGTCGGGACTTACATGGCAGGAACGGTCACCCGAATATGCAAAATAATATTCTCTTGCTGACGAAGGAACGGCTCACACCCACACCCACACCCAAGGGGATGGAGGGGGCTACGGGTGCGTGCTGTCGGATGGAGATCCCCACTCGAACGGGAGCCTCCTTCGGGTCCGACGATTCGAACTCATATGCATAGCCAGTCGTCCTCCCTCACCCCCCCTATGTGGGAAGACCCATACGTACCACCAGAAGGACGTAGGCCCAGTGAGGTTTCGCAGCGGCCACGGTTCAAGCCACGGTAGGCATCAAAACGCAGCCAGTGGGCGTCCCGAGGTGGGCACCGAGGCACCCTCTCCAGGGTATGTCTGCTCTGGCATCGCTTTGGCCTCCCTTGACCTATGGGTGTGGGTGTGTGTTGTTCGTTGCGCCTCGTCTTGCCCCCCCTACACTGTAGGTGCTGGCCTTCCTTCATCTCCTCGTCTTTCCCCCGCGCCTTCCCCTCAGCATCCGTATTGTACATCATGCAGTACTTAAAACAGCTACACGCAAGAGTGACCCTGGGTAAGAGTGACCTTTGGTGCGCGACTTTTGGGTGGCCGCGGGGGGGCCAAACCCGGGCGCGCCAGACGCTACTATCGCATCGCGTTCGGTGATCGGGAGACCCATTCGAGCCCGCACCAAAGGTCACTCCGGCGAAAGGTCACTCTTGCGTGTAGTCGACCTGAGGATCTCTGGGCGACGCGCGTACAAGATTGGTCATGTGCACGCCCAGGGGCTCGAGGATCCGCATAGCGCTCGCCGCTCGCTGCGGCCTTCAAACGACTGCTGCCATCCCTCGACTCGCACTGGAGCTGCCAAGATCTGCTCCGAATTTCCCTGGAGATCTACTCGGATCTACTCGGAGTCCCCTGGATGTGCCATGAATTGCTAGATTTACCAGCATTCATCTTGAGTTCTCCCGCTTCATCACCACAGGTCGATTGGCGACGAGTCGTCAGGCCGCAAATCCTGAGGAAGCAATCCATCGGAGATCTCCGTGAGACCGGCTCATGGCTACAACCCACGGGAGCACACCATATTCAACCGGTTTTCGACTACGGATCTCCCAGCTCCGATACTGAATTCCACTCCCAGGAGATGCATCCGAACAACCCGCAGCTGCTGCCCCCCCCCTCCCTCCTCCTCCTCCTCCTCCTCCTCCTCCTCCTCCTCCTCCTCCTCCTCCTCCTCCTCCTCCTCCTCCTCCTCCTCCTCCTCCTCCTCCTCCTCCTCCTCCACCACCCCCCTCGGGCCCGGAGAGACGCCGCCGTTAAATCGGGGCCCTGAGATCCCGGCGCCACCTTCTTCTCGCAGCGGGCGATTCCCCCTTGGGGCCCCGGAGCCTTCCTCCTCCTCCTCCTCCTCCTCCTCCCTCCCTCCCTCCTCTCCTCCTCCTCCTCCTCGTCCTCGTCCTCGTCCTCGTCCTCCTCTTCCTCCTCCTCCTCCTCACGGACCGATCTGGCTCGAAACTTGGCGCAGGAAGATGAGGTGCTCGGCGGCGAGCGAGGGGGGGAGTGAGGAAGAGAAGGCCTTCTCGGAAGGTTTGGAAGCCCCCCGGCCTGCCGAGCAGTCTCCGAAGCCTCCCCCGAGGACGCAGAACAACTTCTCCGAAAGGCGCGAGGGCGCGAGGGCTTCTGGGAAGGCCCGCCGCCTTCTGAGAAGGCCTTCTCATTCTCATCTCCCCCCTCGCTCGCCGCCGAGGCTGCGGGGCTCTGGCCGTGATTCGGGTTGATCCAAGAGGGGGTCCAGCCACTAGGGGGTGGTGCAATAGATTTGTGGGGTTGCAATACATTTGGGGCGTGCAGTACATCCTGGGGCGCAAATGTATTGCTGGATTTTCGCGTGCCATGCATCACTTGCAATACGATTCAATACAATTACCCGGCGCAGTACATTTGAAATGCAATTGCCCCAAATCCATTTCACCACCCACTTTCAGCTGGCCCCCCTTTTGTCGGGAGCGGCCAAGAGGGGGGTGTCCAAGAGGGGGGGTGCAAATCATGACCGGCGGCATGTGCGCGGCCCAGCGGGGGGGCCAGGGACGTAATGAAAGAAGAAGAGGCGCCATGAAATCTGGGGAGATATCATGGCCCCCGCCATGATCTCCCCCCCCCCCCTAATCATCACCCCCCTCTTTTCCGCCCCCGACCTTTTGGTGTGCTGGAGTAACTCTTTACGATGCCGCACGTTGTCCCTATACGCAGGACCACCGGGACCGCAGCGGGGCGTGCTCGCCGCTGGCCTGGAGGGACGCCCCCCCAGCCCCACGGCCCCCTCCGCGGCTCTGCCCTCCAGACCGCCCGAAGTCTTGGGTCGGGCATGTCCCCCCCACAGGCGGATTTTGGAAGTCTGACGGAGTAGTCAACAATATATATATATATGTATATATATATATATATATATATATATTCAAACACGGGATACAAATTCTCGAAACATCATCCCAGGACTATGTTTCTGGACTATGTTTGAATGTTCCCCCTGTTGAGGGACAGGCCCGACTGAACCGAAGTCCAAGTCGCCCCCTCCGGCCCCGGGTCCTGAGGTCAGGGCTTGACCAGGACAGTGCATGTCGTTTTCGTTTTGTTTCCGTTG